CCTTTTTCCTGCTTCACAGCCAGCTCTGCCAAGGATTGATGGGACATGCAGATTGAGCCCCCAATCTCACAAAGACGTATGATCTGCTCGCTTAACTTGACTCACGTGAGTCACCCCATTGGCTTCAAGGAGAGTTAACGTCTAGAAGCATTTTCAGGATTAGGGCCCTATACCATAAACCAGTGTGTGTGAAATCCTGGCCCCATCGAAATCCAGGACAAAACTCTTGTTAACTGGTTTATTTATTGTAGACTGATCAAAATCCTCATGAGGAATCACTCACAGTGTTTGATTTAACGGGGATCCATCCTGCCAGGTCCACGTCCTCCCTGGGGATGCGATGTTAAGTCCAATCCACACCTGATGTTGGTCCCGTGTAATATTCCCTATGGACGCCTGTGAAATGGACGACATGTCAGAGTGACCAGAACATGCTCTGATTCGCTATCCCAGTTGCTTGCTGTGCACATGGGACCTCATCTCAACCGTGGTCAAGGTCAAGGGGCAGACAAATCTACTAGGGACATGACTCAGTCTGTTGGATTCAGTAGGGGAGAAAAGGGAGGGGAATGAGAAAAAAATTCAACATTTTTCAGTTTTATACACCTGAAACGAAAAGTTGGTTTCATTTTCACAACAAAAGTTTCTTGCAAAAAGTACCAAAATGTTTCTTTAATTTCCCACTGGAGGGAAAACTGTGATTTTGGACCAGCTGTAATTAATAGCAACACACATCCTGCAGTTGAATATAGCACGTTCTTTACCATCTCCTCCCGGTCATCGATCACTAGCAGTTGTGCTCTCTTCATTAAACAGTCGTCATGGCTCCACTCCCAGGTTTTAATCGCTGTAGAAAACCAGTAACACTTGTCCCCATGCAGCAGCCAGTCCTTGGGGCAGAGTTTGCAGCTGGAACTCTCTGGAGGGGGAAATGGAAGAGAGGTGTCGTTAATGATCATTCTGAACAGGGCTGACCACCTTTACAGAGATGCATGGAGCCTTCACGCTCAGGGCTTTACTGAGCCCAGGACTGGGGCCTAGCGGCAGAGACGAGGTGAGTATGTGGGCGAGATGGGATCAGTATGTGGGCAAGACTAAAACATCAGTCGGTTTGGACCCCAATGTCCCAGCAGCAGGGGGCACTGTGCTGCAGGGAGCAGTGTGGGGGCTCGGTAGGAGGCGTTCTCTCTCTGCAGTCCGTGCTGTTCCCAAGGCCCCAGTGTGGGGCTAGAGGACACTGTAGGGAATGAGATTGGGGTTCGTGGCTGCTCACACGCAGGGCTGACCCCAATGCCCCAGCACTGGGGGATGCTGTGCTGCAGGGAGTGGGATGGGGGACTCTGTAGGGGGTGCTCTCCGCTCACAGTCAGGGCTCACCCCGGTCCCATTGAACTAGGGGGTGCTGTGCAGCAGGGAGGAGGGGTGTGTGACTCAGTAGTGGGGGGCTCTTGACTCCATACCAGATGCTGTTCCCCAGGCGGTGCCACCTTTCAGGTGAAGGATAATATAGAGGCGCAGAGCTCTGGTGGGCATTAGAATGAAGGTTGGTCTTGTGGTTGAGATCCCGACCTAGGACTCAAAAGAGCCGTGTTCTGTTCTGGGCCCTGTCACTAGCCTGCTGCGTCCTTGGGCAGGTCATGGCCTGTCCTGTGCCTCAGTTTCCCCTTCTGAGTGTCTTGTCTATTTACACTGTGAACTTGTTGGGGCCGGAGCCATCTCAGCGTCTCTTGGTCCCATGACAGCTAAACGACAGGATTCTATTAAAGTTGCAGGAATGATTCAAGCCTGCAGTTACCTGCGCTGGCCAGTCGCTGTCACTGCTGAGGCTGAGTGTCCCTGGAGATATTAAACAGATCTGAAGGGATGGGAGAGAAGAGGGGGTGCGAGAGCGGCTCTGCTTTGGGAACAGTCAGTGCCTGTAACAGTGACTGCGGGAGGCAGCATGAGCTGGGGTTACCTGCTGGCTGTTTGTTTTGTGTATAACACAAATGTTGCCGCAGGCGAGAGCGGAACTCCTCCAAGTCGCTGCATCCTCTTCCTTTAGGACTGGGCTGAGCTGAGGTTTCGTTCTCCATCGTTTTTGGGACGGCTCCGGTCAGTGATGGGTTCAGGGAACCTTGGAGAAACTTGTTCTGTGGGTGGTTGTTGGAAGCCAAAGATTGGAAAAGACTGGGCTGGGGTGAATCAGCCAGCGCTCCATTGGAGTCAATAGGCCAGATCTCCACCTGGTGTGAATTGGCCAAAGTCCCATTGTGGTCAATGGGGGCAGACTCTGAGCTGGCTCAAATAAATGGAGCAACACCAGTTAGTTGCACCAGTTAGAATCTGGCCTAGAGTGCAGCAGTGTAATAGATTCATCCATTCCAAGGTCAGAAGGCAGCATTATGATGGTCTAGTCCAGGGGTGGGCAAACGTTTTGGCCCGAGGGCCACATCCGGGTATGGAAATTCTACGGTGAGCCATGAATGCTCATGAAATTGGGGTTGGGGTGAGAGCTCTGGCTGGGGGTGCAGGCTCTGGGGTCGGGCTGGGGACGAGGGGTTCGGGGTGCAGGAGGGGGATCAGGGCTAGGGCAGGGCTTGGAGCACAGGAGGAGGTCAGGGGTGCTGGCTCCTGGCAGTGCTTACCTCAAACAGTTCCCGGAAGCAGCCGCATGTTCCGCCTCTGGCTCCTATGTGGAGGCGTGGCCAGGATGCTCTGTGCACTGCCCTGTCCGCAGGCGCCGCCCCCGCAGCTCCCATTGGCCACAGTTACCAGCCAAAGAGAGCTGTGGGGGCAGCGCTTGGGGCGGGGACAGTGTGCTGGGGCCTCTGGCTGCCCCTACGTATAGGAGCTGGAGGGGGACATGCCGCTGCTTCTGGGGATACTGCTCCCCGGCGGAAGCTCGAGGGCCAGATTAAAATGTCTGACAAGCCAGATGTGCCTCGTGGGCCGTAGTTTGCCCACCCCTGGCCTAGTCTGACCACCTGTATCACACAGGCCAGAGAATTCCACCCGGCCATTCCTGCACCGAGCCCAGCAACTTGTGCTGTATTCATGGTGCGTTGCTGTGCAGCCAAAACGCACAGTCTTGGCACACTCACCCCGAGCAGCCAGCGCCATCACAACTCTCAGCAGCACGACGTTCCCAGCCAATGTGAGGCCCAGAGCCAGCCAATGCCAGTACGGGCACCTCGGGCGATCTGCAAGAGTCAATGTGCACTGTTGAGCTATTACCATGTGCTTCACTCACAGGCCTGTGGAGCTTGCAAGGGGGTCTCTACCCTCGGACGATTTGGCCCTGCCTGTTTCCACTTCCCACTACAAACAAGGGACTCCCTGTGACACTCTCGGGGAAACCCGAGGAGTCCAGCGTAAATCGCTGCTACCTGCTCCCAGCAGGAGGGAGCCTTGTCCGTTCTTCCGGAGAGCTGGGATCCACTTTTCATGAGACACCTGCTGGCAGAATTGTTGCTTCCATGTAACATTTGTACCTGCTTCACTTCTCCTATACAGTCCCAGAGCTTTACCTTTGTCAAAATCAAGTTTGCATCTGCCCCAGACTGAAAACACAGGGAATCATAGACATGTAGGACTGGAGGGGACCTCAAGAAGTCATCTAGTTCAGTCCCCTGTGCTCACAGCAGGATTACGTAATAACTAGACCAGTCCTGACAGGTGTTTGTCTAAACTGTTAACATGAGAACGGCCATACGGGGTCAGACCAAAGGTCCATCTAGCCCAGTATCCTGTCTTCCCACAGTGGCCAGTGCCAGGTGCCCCAGAGGAATGAACAGAACAGGGAATTATCAAGTTATCCATCCCCTATCACCAATTCCCAGCTTCTGGCAAACAGAGGCTAGGGCCACTATTCCTGCCCATCCTGGCTAAAAGCCATCAGTGGATCTATCCTCCATGAATTTATCTTGTTCTTTTTTGAATCCTGTGGCCTTCACAACATCCTCCAGCAAAGAGTTCCACAGGTTGACTGTGGAAACCTCCAATGACGGAGATTCCACAACTTCCCTGGGCAATTTATTCCAGTGCTGAACCACCCTGACAGTTAGGAAGTTTTTCCTAAGGTCCAACCTAAACCTCCCTTGCTGCAATTTATGCCCATTGCTTCTCCTATTCTCAGAGGTTAATGAGAACAATTTTTGACCCTCCTCCTTGTAACAGCCTTTTATATACGTGAAAACTATTATCATGGCCTCCCTCCGTCTTCTCCTCTCCAGACTAAACAAGCTGTTTTTTTCAATCTTTCCTCATAGGGCATGTTTTCTAGACCTTTAATCACTTGTGTTGCTCTCCTCTGGACTTTGTCCACATCTTTGTGTCTGTGGATGTCGATTGTTCTCAGTGTTGATTGAGTCAGCTTTGAGACCCACCCAGCCTCAGGTGATAAGGTTCTTCTCCCCCAATTTTAGAAACCAGTATTCTGAATGTTACATAACTCTAGAAATGTTTCCTGTGCAAACATTCACAATATCCATGAGAACCAGCTAGTATTTCTTTTTTAGTAGAGACCTACACGATCCCCCTTTGGTGAAATAGTGAGACGATGCTCAGACACAGATGTAATACACCTGTCAGGGCATGCCTGGACATATGTGGTCATGTCTGTGTCCCACTCCCATGGTGCACTGTGGTGACTCAGCCAGAAGGGAGGCTGCTGTGCACCATGGGAAATGTAGTGTCCATAGAGGAGAATGGGGGCGGGAGACAGGGCTGGCTCCTGCATTTATGCCGCCCCAAGCAAAAAAAAAGGCGGCAGGTCCTTCGCTCCTAGAGGGAGTGAGGGACCTGCAGCCCCCGAATTGCCGCAGGTGCCGTCCCTCTCCCTTGGCCGCCCCAAGCACCTGCTTTTTAAGCTGGTGCTTGGAGCCGGCCCTGGCGGGAAGGAGGTGAACTACAACTCCCATGGGGCACTGCAGCAGCTCAACTGGACACAGGTTCAAGTCAAACTGACTTTGACATTTTGTTTCATTTTTCCCAGTGGAAAGACATTTTGGTGGCAGATTCCCAGCCAGTTTCACTCAGAACCCAACCTGCTGGGCCCTCCTGAAAATCTAGGCCCTTATTTTGGCACCTAAATGAGAGCTGAGACCCTCCAAAGCCCTGGCGCCACTGGTGAGTGCTGAGCACCTTGGGAAATGGAGCCATCAAGGCCAGATCCTCAGCGGCTGTGAATCAGCAAAGCTCTGTACATTGCAAGGGAGCTACAGTGCTGTACCCCTGCTGGGGATCTGGCAGTCAGACTGTAACAGGGAATGAGGTCAGTGATGCCGTCTCACAAGCAAGTCAAAGCATTTCACGTTACATTGACCTGTCCCTAGGGGCTAGAGGAACCTAGGGACACCTCCCCAGCTGCTGTAACGCGGCTGTAGCTCCACTGAAGTGCACAGAATTATGCAAATTTATACCAGCTGAGGTAGGGTTACCATCTTTCAAGCTCTGGAATAGAGGACACTGCCAGGAGGAGGGGAGGAGGGGGAGTTGGAAGAGGAGGAGGGGTACCATGCCACCCTTACTGCTGCGCTGCTGCCGGCAGCAGCGCTGTCTTCAGAGCTGGGCGGCCATCCAGCAGCCACTGCTGTCCGGCTACGCAGTTCTGAAGACACTTGTTCATATTTCAGAAGCCCACCCGGACAGAGATCGGAGGACCAAAAAAGAGGTCATGATGGTAACCCGAAGCTCAGCATCTAGTCATCTATTTAGTTCAAGGCAAAAAAATACATGAAGCTGGAAAGGCTGAGAGCATGTATCAGGTTTTTATGGTTCAAAACCTTCCAGGGAGGCTGTAATTATCCCAAAGCCAAACATAACAAACCCAGGACATGCAGAGTTAGATCTCACTGGTCCCAGGTTAGATTACACTCATTTTAAAGACATGTTAGGTATTTTCTCCCCCCTCCCGGAGTCAGGGCTAGATTCTGATCTGACCTATTACCCCCTATTGAAAATTGAGTGACCTCAGTGAAATTGCTGGAGTTAGGACCAGCTTCTCATCCGAGTTATACCGGGGTACATCCAGAGTGACCCCACGAAATTCAGTGGAGCTATGTCCATGTCCACCATCTGGGGGCCTGACCCCCCGACCTCCCATGCATCACTCAAGCTGCTGGTTAAAAACCTATTACAGCCGACAAGATCCCAGCCCCCCAGAATCCACCAGCCCTGTTTAAACACCACAAAGCAAAACTCACTGTGATGCTGAGATGGAGCCACTTTGCCTCTGGAGGAAGGATCTCCAGGGATGTTTAAATCAGCAGGGACTATTTCCCCAGCCATGGCTGTCACCGGAGGCGGTGAGCGGGGTTGTACTGTGTAAAGGCAGCTCGTGTGTGGGCTAAAATGGCCAACATCCCCTCAAACCAGGAAATGTCATGATTGAAGTCCCATCCCCCTCCTTACTCTGTGGGTTTAGGGGAATGGCTTAAATATATTGTACTTTCTCCCCCAACACAACTGTGCTCTAGGCTGCCCTTGCAGAGGTCTCTAATGGAGGTAGGTGCCCAAGTGTAATGAAAATCAGTGGGGATCCTACCTCAGTTAGGTAGTAGAACCCAGCTTCGAGCACCATACAGAGCCAATGCACAGACAGTCTTGTGTCTGGGATCACCAGTTGTTCCCACGGTTTTAGTCTGCGTTCAAAGAATAAACGGTAATAAAACCAGACCCAGCGAGACGGCCACCCACAGACATCAGCTCTCAATGTTCGTCTTATTGTTTCGTGTCCAACGGGCTTGAAAGTAGGGCTGGTGGGAAATTTTCCAACAATGTTTTTTGGATGGACAACTGGCGTGTTTTGGCTAAATGCCCATTTCCACGGAAAGTTTCTGCTGGCCTCAGAAATATTTGGTGTTTCCATCGGAAAACAAAACGCTGATTTCCCCCTCTCTGCGCCCCACCCAACCCAGGTTGTGTCTGAAAATGTTTGGTTTTCAACAAGTCAAAGTTTTCCACTGAAAATGTCGCCAAAAATCTAAAAAATAATGGAATTTTCTTTGACATTTTCCCAAATCAAAAATATTTTGGAACTTTTTGCTCCTAGCAATATATCGGCCTTTCGACTTTTTGTCACAATTCAGAACGTTCCGTCTTATCTCCCCTCCCCCCCGTTTTTCATTCTTTTTTTCTTCATCCTCCTCCTATAAGTAATAACAAGTAAATGAAAATAAAGTGAGGTACCTCGATTGTTTTTGTAGTCTAACTTACTTTTCCACAGACCACTAGAAAACCACTGAGGGTCTCGGCAGACCACTTAATGGTCTCTCCAAATATTGTTTGTACCGTTAGTTAACTATTGTAAGGTGCTTTGGATAAGAGCGCGTTATAAAAAAAAATGTAAAAAAACGTTGGGGTGTGGGGTCTGGCGAGGACATAGGGTGTGGAAGGGGGCTCAGGGCTGGGGGTGCAGGGTCTGGGGGGTGTTAGGCTGTGGGTTGGGGTGCAGGGTCTGGCCTGGAGTTAGGATGCAGGAGGGGGCTCAGGGTTGGGGCAGGAGGTTGGGGTGCAGAGCGCTTACCTGGGGCAGCTCCCGTTTGGTGCGAGGGGTGCAGCTGGGATGTGTGGGGGGGGTGCAGGGATCACGGACGACAGGGGGGTGGGGGGTTTCAGGAGTCGGGGGGCTTTCGGTGTGTGAGGGGGGTGAAGAAGTCAGGTCTGGGTGTGTGTGAGGGGGTGCAGGAGTCAGGGCTGGGGACTGGGGGTGGGGGCTGGGCTCATGAGGGGTGCTCCCAGTCCCCAGCCCCACACCCTGCCCTAAGCAGTGCACAGCGGGGGGGGGTATGTGTAAGGGGAGTGTGGGGGCCCCGCCTTTGCTCCGCCCTGCCCTGATTCCACCCCCTTCCCCAAGGCCCCCCCCCACCTCTTCTCCACCTCCTCCCCCCGAGTGCGCTGTGACCCCGCTCTTCCCCGTCCCTCCCGGAGCGCCAGCAAACAGCTGTTTGGCAGTGGGGTAAGCCCTGGGAGGGAGGGGGAGGAGTGGGAACGCGGCACGCTGGGGAGGTGGCGGAGAACAGGCAGGGGAGGGGGGAGCTTGGCTGTCAGTGGGTGCGGGACGGGGGGAGGGGGGCGGAGAAGAGCTGGGCGGACTTCGACTGCAGCCCAAGCAGAGCAGGCCGGGTGGGGCCGGGGCCCCCTTGGAGCCTGGGCTCCCTGCGGGGCAGAAGCCTGAGCCCTATCCCGTTCCCCCCCCGACCCAGCGGCTGAAGCCTGGAGCCCCTCCACTCATCCCCCCACTCAGGGCTGTCCCTAGCCATTTTGGTGCCCTACTCACGACCCGGCGGGGTAGAGCGGGTTGGGGCTGGGTCGCTCCACTTCCAGCCGCCCGGTGATTGCAGGGCAGGCCAGACCCCGCACTCATGGGGCGGTGGGATGGGGAGTGACCAGATCCAGGCCACTCCGCTCTGCTCCCCTGGCTCCCAGTTGGAGGCACAGTTGGTTGCTGGCGGCATGGAGGGGGCTGGGGCGGGTTGGTCCTCCACTTACCACCGCCCGGTGATTGCAGGGCGCCTGACCCCGCACTCATGGGGCGGTGGGATGGGGAGTGACCAGATCCAGGCCACTCCGCTCTGCTCCCCTGGCT